GCGGGAAGAGGGGTGGGGGGAGGGAGGGAGTGGGAGGGAAGGAAGGGGGAGGGAGGGATGGGGAGGGAGGGAGCCACAGGGGTCAGTGGCGAGAGCGACGTTTGATTAGTGTATGAACAACAACGACGACGACGACACACACAGCCCCCCCCACTACCTGCGCAGCACCTTGACACGCGGCGGCACCTACGTGCTGCCACCGCATGTCCACGGTCGCATCGCGCGGGTCTCTACGCGAGTCTACAGGACCCCACAGGACCGGAGGCGAGGGGGGGGGGAGCGGATGGGAGGCTACCGATGCGCTGGATCACGGCGCGAGCGACGCCAGCCGGTCCCCCGTGGCGTCGCCGGGTCATCGGCACGCGACCCCGCTCGTTCACCGCGCTCGCTAAGTCAGCGGCGCGGCAAGGGCGGTGGGGCCCGGCGCGGGTCTCGCTTGTGCCGGTGGACGGAGAAGAGAAGAAAGACAAAAGATAGATGGGCCACGGCGACTGGCAAGCACGAGAGCACATTAAATTCTGCGCGCATCGGTCAAGATACTCGCACGCAACACACACGAACACGCACACACATGAACACGCGCATACACGCTCGCACACACAAACACACACACACAAACACACGCACACACACAAACACGCGCACACGCACACACACACACAAACACACACAAACACACACACACACAAACACACACACGCACACAAAAACACGCACAAACACACACACAAATACACGCACAAACACATGCGCGCACAAACACATGCACACACGCACAAACACACACACACACACGCTCGCACGCACACACGCACAAACACACACAAACACAAACACGCACAAACACACACACGCACAAACACACACAAACACACACACACAAACAGACACACGCACAAACACACACACACACACAAACACACACACGGACAAACACACACACGCACAACACACACAAACACACAAAGACACACACGCACAAATACATGCTCGTAAGCACACACACATGCACAAACACACGCACAAACACACACACACAAACACACGCACAAACACACACACGCACAAACACACACATGCACAAACACACACACACACAAACACACGCACAAACACACGCACGCACAAACACACACAAACACACACACGCACAAACACACACACGCTCACACACACACACACGCACAAACACACACACACACAAACACACGCACACACGCACACACGCACAAACACACACACGCACAAACACACACACACACAAACACACACACGCACAAACACGCGCGCGCAAGGCAATTGAATAGCAAATGGCAGCGCCGTCACTGTCGACCCAAACTCTTCCACAAATGTCATTTCAATTACTCAGAGAGAGAGAGAGAGCGCGGGACGGGTCCAAAACATGCGGCCCTCTCCTCCCCGCTCGCGCTGCTCCCTCCCACCCTCCCACCCTGTGTGCGAGTCGACGGATACCTCTGCGAGTCTGCGGGCCGTAATGTGAGTCTACGGGTCTCTACGTGAGTCTATGGGTCTCTGTGTGAGTCTATGGGTCTCTGTGCGAGTCTACGGGTCTCTGTGTGAGTCTATGGGTCTCTGTGCGAGTCTATGGGTCTCTGTGCGAGTCTACGGGTCTCTGTGTGAGTCTATGGGTCTCTGCGTGAGTCTACGGGTCTCTGTGTGAGTCTATGGGTCTCTGTGTGAGTCTACGGGTCTCCATGTGAGTTTACGGGTCTCTGTGTGAGTCTATGGGTCTCTGCGCGAGTCTATGGGTCTCTGCGTGAGTCTATGGGTCTCTGTGTGAGTCTATGGGTCTCCATGTGAGTCTACGAGTCTCTCCGAGTCTCGGTGTCTCGATGCAGAGTCGTCGGTGATTTGGTTTGAGAACCCGGATTGCATCCGGGTGCTCTACAGCGCCAGCTCGCCTCTCAAACCCTCGGGGCCACCACACAAACTCGCACACAGAGACCCATAGATTCACACAGAGACCCATAGATTCACACAGAGACCCATAGATTCACATAGAGACCCACAGATTCACACAAAGACCCATAGATTCACACACAGAGAGACCCATAGGCTCACACAGAGACCCATAGATTCACACAGAGACCCATAGATTCACATAGAGACCCACAGATTAACACAAAGACCCATAGATTCACACACAGAGAGACACATAGGCTCACACAGACCCATAGCTTCAAACACAGAGGAACCCAGAGATCCAAAGTAAAACCCAAAGTCTCGCCCAGAAACCCACATACTCGCAGAGAGACCCACACACTCAACATAAACCCACAGATTTCGATTTAAAGCTTTCGTGACTGCAGGGATTCATCTTCTTGGTTCTTTCGTTAAAAGGGAAATAATAAAATAGAAAAAATAAAACATAATAAAATACAATTCTCACGACGTTTCGGCCACAACGCAAGCAGCCGTCCTCAGGTGAAGAACAAGTCTGTCGGAAAGACAGCGTCTGAATGAAACGTCGTGAGAATAATGTTATTTTTATAATTTTATTATTTCCCTTCTACCTGACTTTACCGAAAGAACCCAGAAGATAAACCCACAGACTCGCACATTGACCTACAGACTCACGTGGGGACCCACAGATTGACGCGGAGACCCTTGTACCCGCACGGCGACCAAACGGCCTTCGCCGAGACGAGACCCCCCAGAACCACCGAACACGCGTCGGCTCCCCCGCCCCCCGCCCAGCCCACCGCTATTCACATTCTGCTGCGTGCGTGCACGCCCCGGGAACAGAGAGGGCCGTGACCCCATCTATCCGTGCGGCGCTGCCAGGGTCCCCCCCCCCCCTGCCCCCCCCCCCTTCTTCGTCTCTGGGTGGAGGGGGGCGGGCGGGCAAGGTCACCGGTGCAGCAATTGGAATCTGCCGTCGAGGGACGTGCGTTGGAGGCTCCGGCGTAGCCGTTCGAGCGCCATGCAAATGAAAAAGACCCCCACCCACCACCACCGCCGCCGCCCCGACACGCTCGCTCCCAATTGAAATCGGCGCGGCGGCGGCGGCGGCGGCGGCGGTGAGGTTGGAAAGAAAAAAACACTTAGTAGCGAGACGGAGAGAGGAACGCGCGGATTACAGAACATAAACGTCGTCGTCGTTGTCGTCGTCGTCGTCATAGCGATCAGAGGTGCGATGGACAGGGTGGTCGCTGCTGAAAAAGAGCTACGTAGCTCAGCGGGGCCTTACACCACGAAAACAATATTTTAGTCTTTAGCGTGCCAGCGTCACTGTGCAAAGCACTAATTTGGAATCAACGTAGGAATCATTGCACTACCCCCCCCCCCCCAGTCTTCCACGTCACATGCCGCAAGAAAAAAATACCCAAAAAACAGCTTGTCAGGACCCGCTTGCAAAACAGTCGCCAAACATAATGTGAATCTACTGCTGGATGAAGGCCTACTGGCGCCAAGGGGAGGGTACACGTGGGGTTTGAAGAGCGACGTTCTCTTGGTTTGCCTGCCCGTCGGTCACACGACCGGGGTGGGGCGGGGGGGGGGGGGGGGGGATTGGTGGTCCCGGCGTTCCGAGAATAATTAACAAACGAAACTAATCGCTGGCCAATCAGCGCCGTGCCGGCAACATCGGCGACTCCCAGACGACAAACGGCCGCCACGCGCGATGACGCCGACCATCACGGAGCAACAGCAGCAACGACGGTAATCATGGCGACGATACTTGTGCGCTCAGGGATGTACGCCAACATCGTTCGGAGACATTCTTAGGTTTTTTCGGTAAAGTCATGTAGGTAAAAAATTAAAATTAATAAAAGTAAAATAAAATCACGACGTTTCGGAGGCAACACAAGCTTCTGTCTTCAGGTGGAACCGTCACAGCCACGACAGCTGTATCAAGTAAATGAGAGATTACAAGAGCTACCACTCCGTATATATAATGGTTGAAGAGGGGAAGGGCCAAGTACGGCACACTTGTTATTAATATGGTAAGGTGAGGCTTAAGACTAAGAATAGACTGCATAACAAACGTCGTGATTTTTATTTTATTTTACTTTTATTAATTTACATTTTTTACCTACGTGACTTTACCGAAAAACCCTAAGAATATGAATCCTTGCAGTCACGAAAGCTTCAAATCTAGAATCGTTCGGAGAGGTGCATTGCTCAGGTTTCCATCCCCCGGACACACACACACACACCATTTCGAACGACGCCACGGGGGGGGGGGAAGGGGGTTTCTCTTCGCGTCCGGCGCGTGCGTGCGAGCGCCTAAACTTCTTTCACACCTTCTTGATTCTTTCCGTAAAGTCACGTAGAAGGGAAATAATACAATAATAAAAATACAACATAATAAAATCAAATTCTCACGACGTTTCGGCCACAACACAAGCAGCAGTCCTCAGGTGAAGAACAGAGCTGTCTGAAAGACAGCGCTCCAATCAACACTGCTAAGCTTAAATTTCGATTTAAAGCTTTCGTGACTGCAGGGATTCATCTTCTTGGTTTATTCGGTAAAGTCACGTAGAATGGAAACAATAAAAATAATAAAATAAAACATAATAAACGTCGTGAGAATTATTTTATTATGTTTAATTTTATTATTTTTATTGTTTCCATTCTACGTGACTTTACCGAAAGAACCAAGAAGACTGCTCAGCTTGGCAGCGTATTTGAAGCTGGGTGGGAGGAGAAGAGCGCCTTGACAAGAAAAAATTATTTCGCACCGTACATGAGCCAACCGTAGCTCACCGGCGGTGCGTCCGCTGCACGCACGCACGCACGTGCGTACGGTACGCTGAACTTCTTTCGTACTGAACGTAATACAACCGTGCGCCTGGCACGCACAGCAGCGGTGACAAAGGGTGGTGCCCCATCGGATTCAAAGCGCGAGCCTCTGCTGCGTGCGGCCCAACGCCGCTCGCCACTGGGACGCGTCGCCACCCCACCCCCCCCCCAGGCTTCTGAATCCGAGTGTTTGTCCGTACCGGGAGGAATCCGATGGGCTACGAGGCACTCACGTGATCGGGGTGCGTGGACGTTGAGAGCGGGTGGAGGTGGTGCGGAAGCAGAAGCTGATGGTGCTGGTGAAGCTGCTGCTGCTGCTGCTGGTGCTGCTGCTGCTGCTGGTGCTGCTCCATCTCCACACTGAGCCCCGGCTTCTGGGACGGCCCAGGCCTGAGCAGGGGGTCCGACGTTTCGGCGCCCGACGGCAGACACAGCACGGAGGCCGGAGGGCCGTAGTGGCTGGGGAAGTGAACGGCATCGCCGCTGGCGCTGCGCAAGCCGTAGCGCTGCTGCTGCTGCTGCTGCTGCTGTTGCTGCTGCTGCTGATGGTGCTGGTGATGGTGCTGGTGGTGGTGGTGCTGGGCGCTCGTCATAGCCGAGGGAGGCCAACCCGAGCCGTCAAACTCCCCGCCGGGCGACGGCACCGCCGCGCGCCCGTTCACAGCCGGCGGCGGCGTACGACTGAACGACGGAGGACGGCGACGACTGGGCGGTCGCGGCGCCGGCCATCGGATCGGCGCCGCCACCGCCGGCGCCTGCACCACCGCCCTCCTTCCTGGGGCTGAGCGCCGCTCCCAGCAGCAGCCCGTGCGAGAACCCGTTGTAGATTTGCGCCGCCGGGCCCCCGGGCCGTTCCAGGTCGGCGTCGCTCGCGCCCACCATCGCCGGCGACGGCGGCGACGGCTGCTGCTGCTGCTGGTGGTGATGGTGCAGGCCGCCGAAACCGGCCGGGGGCAGGTTCGGCACTCCACCTCCGCCGGCGCCGTGAGGGTACATGCCCGGCGCAAAGTGCGCCAGCGTCGGCCTCGAGGGCAGCGCGTAGAAGGGCGACGGCGCGTACTCGGCGCTGCTCCGGGCGTCGGGGCCGCGCCCGGGGAAGTTCGTTCGGCCCGGCTGGGCCGCGGCGTCGTCGGCGGCGCCGGCGCCGGCGGCGGCCGAGTTGCCGAAGGGGTGCGGCGAGACGGCGCGCTGCGCCGCGCACGCCTGCTTGTACTGCAGCAGGCGCGACTGCGGCACCAGCGAGGGCTCCGCGCGCATCTCGCCCAGCTTGGGCAGCCGCTGAGCGGCGGACAGGGGCAGCCCGGAGAAGCTGGGGGGGGGGGGGGGGCGGCACAGGGCAGAGGGTCAGGGTCCGGTGGCGCGCCCGGCGGAAGGCCTTCGCGGTCGGCCTCGGCCTTCCCCTTCCGCGTCGGCCAGTCGCCTTGGGGCGGGCGGGCGCGGCTGCTGGGCGCGTGGACGGCGTCACAAAGCAGCTCGACGCACGTGCGCGTCCCGAGAGGCGGCGCGGGAGGAGCTGCCCCTGCCGTCAGAGCGACCCGCCGATAAGTCTCGGGGCGCAAAGAGGTGGTGGGGGTGTTGGGGTGTGGGTTCAACGCAATCCGTCTCCCCCCCACCCCCCCCCACCGTTTCTACTTCCACGCCGGGGAGGCGGCGAACGCAAGCGGCGACCCTCTGATCCGCAGGCCTCGGAGCGCCCACCACTTTCACCCCGACGCCCCCCCCAGACACGCATCAGGTCGGACGTTCAGGAGGTGGTGGTGGGGGGTAGGGTGGGTGGGTGGTGGTGGGGGGGGTGGGTGGGGTGGGTAGGGTGAGTGGGGTGGGTGGGTGGGGTGGGGTGAGTGGGGTGGGTGGGTGGGGTGGGTGGGGTGGGTGGGTGGAGTGGAGTGGGGTGGGTGGGTGAGTGGGGTGGGGTGGTGGGTGGGTGGGTGGGTGGGGGTGGGGTGGGTGGGGTGGGTGGGATGTGGGGGTGGGTGGGGTGGGTGGGGGTAGGGTGGGTGGTGGGGGGTAGGGTGGGTGGGGTGGGGTGGGTGGGTGGGTGGGGGGTGGGTGGGGGTGGGTGGGTGGGGGTGGGTGGGGGTGGGTGGGGGTGGGTGGGGTGGGATGGGTGGGGTGGGTGGGGTGGGTGGGTTGGGTGGGTGGGTGGGTTGGGTTGGGTGGGTGGGTTGGGTGGGTGGGTGGGTTGGGTGGGTGGGCTGGGTGGGTGGGTGGGATGAGTGGGGGTCTTGGCCACGCACTTGCGCGAGTACGGCGAGGGGGGCCCCGGGAGGCCGTTGGCGGTGAAGGGCGACCCCTGGCCGAGGGCCGCCAACCGCTGAGCGTGACCGCCGCCCATCGACAGGTGCTCCTGCAGCCGCAGCTGCTGCTGCTGCTGCTGCATCAGCTGACGTCGTTCCGCCAGGGTCATCTCTGCGTGTGTGTGTGGCGGGGCGAGCGTGTGTGTGTGTGGTGCGGTGAGCGTGTGTGTGCGTGTGTGTGGCAGGGCGAGCGTGTGTGTAGCGAGCATGTGTGTGGTGTGGCGAGCGTGTGAGTGTGTGGTGTGGCGAGCGTGTGAGTGTATGGTTCGGCGAGCGTGTGTGTGTGGTGTGGCGAGCGTGTGTGTGCGTGTGTGTGGCAGGGCGAGCGTGTGTGTAGCGAGCATGTGTGTGGTGTGGCGAGCGTGTGAGTGTGTGGTGTGGCGAGCGTGTGAGTGTATGGTTCGGCGAGCGTGTGTGTGTGGTGTGGCGAGCGTGTGTGTGTGTGGTTCGGCGAGCGTGTGTGTGTGGTGGGGCGAGCGTGTGTGTGCGTGTGTACGTGTGTGTGTGGTGCGGCGAGCGTGTGTGTGGCAGGGCGAGCGTGCGCGAGAGACGGGAGAGAGGGAGAGGGAGAGACGGCACGCAAACTTCTGTCAGGGGAAGCGGCGGGGACATCGGCAACTCTTGCCGCGCGCTCATCCTCACGCGGCGGTGAGCGTTGTGCATCACCACGCCTACCGTCCATGCCGACGTGCCCCAGCGACGCGCCCGCCGCCTGCTGCTGCTGCTGCTGCTGCGGGGGCTGTGGGGAGGCCACGGCGGCGCCCCCCCCGACCCCCGTACAGCTCGGGCCACCCCGACGAGGCGGCCGGCGGCGCCACGCGGCCCAGCGACACGCGGCCGACCGCCTCCGAGCCCAGCGGCAGCAGGCCCAGCGCCGTCAACGACTTGTGCTGCTGCTGCTGCTGCTGCTGCTGCAATTCGGCTGCCGTGTGCTGCTCCAGCTGCTGCTGCTGCTGGAACAGCTGCGGCGCGAGCGGCGGAAGCTTGAGGCCGTCGGCGGGAGCCATGCCGTGCACGGCCTCCGAGCCGAAGAACGCGGAGGGAAAGATTCCATGCTGCGGCTGCTGCTGCTGCTGCTGCTGGTGCCCTCGCGCCAGCTGCTGCTGCTGCTGCTGCTGGTGATGCTGTTGCAGGAACAGCTGCTGCGCGCTGTGCGTGGAGGCAGGCATGAGGCTGCGGAAGTACGCGTGCTGCTGGTGCTGCTGCTGGTGCTGCTGAGCGTCCGGACCGAGGAACGGTGGCGTCGGGCACCCGGCGAGAAAGTCCGCTTGCTGCATGCGCTTCTGGGCGTCCTTGCCGGTGGCGCCCGGAGCCACCGCAGCCAGCGCCAGATTCACCTGCTGCCCGTCAGCTTCAGCTGTGCCGGCGGCGGCACGGGCGGCGCGTGGGTGTGTGGTGAAAGCGGCGGCGGGGGGGAGCGGGAAGGAATGGAGAGATCATTATTTTTATCGACGGTTGTCGCGGTCGCGCGATCATCGACGTGGCCACCGGCATCGGGAGCCCGTACCGGTGGTTTTGTCTCACCGGTTAAATTGCCGTTGCCGACCCAAACCGCGATGACGTCTGAATCTGGCTCGGGGGGGTCAAGCAGGGTCACGGGTGGGGCGAACGATACGTTCACCGCGCGCGTGAGGACAGTCGCTACGTGGCGAGCGAGAGGCGTCACCGCGTGCCGGGCTGGCTGGGCAAGGGCCTGGCCTGGTCAGGGCCTGGCACGGCACGGTTTGTGACGGTGGGAAAAAAATTAACCCGTAAAAACAAAATTTTTCACAATAAATCCTTTATATGCGTGTTCAATGGGCCACAACCCAGCCCACATTGGTCTTTGAAACGGGCGGCTAGAGTCCTCTCGTCCTCTGGCTTGAGATGGCTGCCACGTATGGGTCAGATGATTGCCTGCCACCATTAAGCAATTGGTAATTAAATATAATAATTTTTTTTTTACCTAAAAAGTGTAAAAAAATTTAAAAAGAATTTTCACGAAAAGAAACTGTCACGCACAACGAGTCTGTGTGCAAAATGTCAGCTCGATTGGATCACGGGAAGTGGGTTAAAAAACGACCGAAAGATTTGCACGGTCGTAAGCGCGCAAGCAAGCAAGCGAGTGAACTTAATATAAAGGATTTAAAAAGCGGAAGCTGTTTGGAGTACGAAGCCGCAGAGGTGCACGGGCGAACCTGTTTATCATGAAGATCCAGATCTGGAGTCACCGATCCGCCAGAGTTTCCTGGGAAGGAGCGGCGGGGCGGGGGGGGGGGGGGCAACGTGAGCACGATACAACAGCGCGCGATACAAATTGGCGTTTGGAGAGGGGGGGGCCCCAACGGGACAAAAATTCAGAGTCAAGGTTGGGGGGCCCCCAATGGGACGAAAATTCAGAGCCAACATAGGGGGGGCCCTGACGAGACGAGATTACTACAGCAGCAGCAGTAGCAGCAGCAGCAGAAGCAACAGTAGCAGCAGTAGCAGCAGCATCAGCAGCAGTAGCAACAGCAGCAGCAGCATCAGCAGCAGCAGAAGCAACAGTAGCAGCAGTAGCAGCAGCATCAGCAGCAACAGCAGCAGCAGCAGTAGCAGCAGTAGCAGCATCAGTAGCAACAGCAGCAGCGTTATTATTCTTATTACAATTGCCACCCTCGCAGGAATCCCAAAACCAATTAGGACAAACGACATGAATCATGTTTTCCTATTAGAATTCTCGACTTAGAAGTAAATAAACGTCAGCCTATCTCATCCCCTGCACCCCTCCCATCACACCGCCCCACCCTCACTGACACACCCCCCCCCCACAACACCACCCCCCACGCTGTGTGACAGACTTGAGAATGACAATATTAATGTATCCCGCAGGAGAAACCCGGTGAGCCATCAAGCTCTTTCTCACAAATGCCCAGCGGGGGTTACGGGGTCAGAACGTTACAATGACAAATCGCTTCGTGAAAAAAAAACACAAATTATTTTTTATTTTTTTATCGTACTAGGTAAGGCGCACTGAGCTACGAAGCAGCTTTCTTTCAGAAGCGAGCGTGGCGATCACTAATGATAGATCAACAAAAATGACATTTACAGCAGCCAAATACTCTAAACGGGTGACGTTGATTCGAAATGTGGAGGAAACGCCAGAGGAGCCGGAGATAAAATCCACGCGACCACGGGGAGAGAGACACGCAAAAATATACAGCAGCAAGCGTCAGGGTCGGGATCGAACCCACGACCTCCTGCATACCAGGCGAGGTAGTTAACATCTCCTAGCCACCGTGATGATGAGAGAGAGAGACACGCAAACTCCAAATATACAGCAGGCGTCAGGGTCGGGATCAAACCCACGACCTCCTGCATACCAGGTGAGGGAGTTAACATCTCCTAGCCACCGTGATGATGATGAGAGAGAGAGACACGCAGACTCCAATTATACAGCAGGCGTCAGCGTCGGGATCGAACCCACGACCTCCTGTGTACCAGGCGAGGTAGCTACCATCTCCCCAACGTACAGATTTAGGATAGAGGTCACAACAGCCCTGCTAACAGCTCGCTCACACACTGCTGGCGTAAGAGACCTCCGCTAGCGGGAGCTACAGAGGGTCCCTCTCCACAGAGAGGGTGCTGATCTTGATTTGAAGCTTTCGTGACTGTAGGAATCCATACTCTTTGGTTCTTTCGGTAAAGTCACGTAGGTGAAAAAATTCAAAATAAAAAAAAAATTAAATCACGACATTTCGATTGCAACGCAGGCAATCGTCATCAGGTGTGACAACCACAGCAAGAAAATGTTTTTTTTACTGAAGTGTGAGAGATGCCAGAGTTAAGAAATTTTTTAAGTCCGAGAGAGCGGTGGGCGGGGGGGGGGAGGGGGGTGGGTGGGTCCAACCCAAGGGTGTAGCGAGAGGAGCTCTAGAAGGAATTTGAAGAAGAGGAATTTGTACGTTCATGTAGCGAGGGGACTGACCCCACCACAACGCAAACCGGGCCGATCGATCGATCGACCGACCGCCCACCCGCGCGCCATCGTGCCTATTTACACGGCCGGGTGGACGAGTGGCGAGACGGGTGAGGGAGGGGGGGTGGTAAAGTGGGGGGCCCCTCCCCACCCCCCCCCAACTGAATAGAGCCGGTGACCTCCGCGCGGTGAGCTTGGCACCTCGCCGCTGGCCCACGGCGTTCCAATCAAACCGGAAGAGCTCGTTAAGTTTAATCGAAATAATTTATTATTCAAGAGCCACGCTCCATCTCTCCCCGGGCGGAGGCGGGCGGGGGGGTGGGAAACGCAAATCAGCGTGGCCAAATTGAAGTTGTCCCCACGTGTTGACGGCGCGGCGACGGCCGACGGAAAGCCGTCGGTCACGAGCCGGCGTCGTCGTCGTCATCATCGTCGTCATCGTCATCATCATCGTCATCGTCGTCGTCATCATCATCATCGTCATCATCGTCGTCGTCGTCATCATCGTCGTCATCGTCATCATCATCGTCATCGTCGTCATCATCATCATCATCGTCATCATCGTCGTCGTCATCATCATCGTCGTCATCGTCGTCGTCATCATCATCGTCGTCATCATCGTTATCATCATCATCATCATTGTCATCATCGTCGTCGTCATCATCATCGTCATCATCATCATCGTCGTCATCGTCGTCGTCATCATCATCATCATCATCGTCATCATCATCGTCATCATCATCATCGTCATCATCGTCATCATCGTCGTCGTCATCATCATCGTCGTCGTCATCATCGTCATCATCATCATCGTCATCATCATCGTCATCATCGTCGTCATCGTCGTCGTCGTCATCATCGTCATCATCATCATCGTCATCATCATCGTCATCATCGTCGTCATCGTCGTCGTCGTCATCATCGTCATCATCATCATCGTCGTCAAAAATTTAAATAGTTTAGTTTTCGTGCGAGCAGCCCACGTGACCAACGCTGGGCCTGCCCGCCGCTTACACACCGCTGTGTGGACAGACGCAGCAGTGGGTATCATTTGTGGGGGGCAGTGGTGGGGGGGGGGTTTATAAACTTACAGCCTCCACCTTTGGTTCATCTGCCGTGCCGGGAAATGGAATCGAACCGGCGACCTTCCAGCAACAAAAGCTCGACGACTCAGCCTCAACTGAGTACACCTGGTGCCGCGTGTAAACATCGCACGCTGGGGGAGACAAAGGCGGCCGGGCGTGGTGCTGGCCACACCACCAGCTCGTCGGCCATTCACAGGCGCTGCCACTCGCTAAACGGCGCTCGCCCCAACAGCCCGTTACAGGCTACACGGCGGGTGTGGGGGGGTGTGGGGGGGTGTGGGGGGGTGTGGGGGGGTGTGGGGGGGTACACCCTTCCCGCCACCACCTCCTCCCCCGAGACATCCGGCCTGTGCGGAGGAGCTCCGATTGTTTGTTTGGAAGAGCGGCAAAGATTCGATCGCGCTCGCCCGCTCGCCCGCCCGCCCGCCCGCTCGCCCCCCCCCGCTCTCCCGCCCCCCCCCTGCTCTCGCCCCCCCCGCTCTCCCGCCTCGTCCGCCTGCTCGCTCCCCCCCCCCCTCGCCCCCCCCCCTCGCTCACCCCCCCCCCACTCGCCCGCCTGCTCGCCCGCCTGCTCACCCCCCTGCTCGCTCGCCGCCCCCCCCCCCCCCCCACTCGCCCCGCCCGCCTGCCTGCAGCGCAACTGACCTCAACGACGCGTTTAAAATAGATTTTTTTTTTTATAATAAATACAGAAAATTCAAATCAAATCGCTACTTACTCCTCTGGGTTGCTCAAGACCGCGCTGGCAAAAAAAATTGTAATCGGGGCGATGAATAAAAATGCGGACTC